TTATTGTTAGAAAAAGTACATAGAGCATAATTGCGCTATTGCTACTGAAATTGATGAGAGTTTCATTGGGGCACCATATTGTGGAATAGGAATATTGTCAATTTTTCTGTTAAAACGGTATATGGAATAATACAGTAGTAATGTCGGTGCCAGCATTACAGACAATATAATGTAATATGGCTGAGTGGAATTGTTCTTCACTGAGTCTTGATGATAATACATGGCACGAAAAGAAAGTGACATGGTGAAAACTGACAAGGTGGCAACGTAAACAGAACATAGGTCCTAGAGTCCATTAAGCTGGCTTCACATTCTGGCTTTGTCCATCACTGCCTGTGTGACTTAGTAAAGGAGTGTGATCTCTCTGAACCTTAGACCTGTCATCTGCCACATGCGCCTTCTCCTGGCTTGTGCCTGCTTTTACTGTAAAGGGTTATGTGAAATAATTATTGTGAAGTGCTTTTCACAGTCAGCACTCTGTAAATGCCCTCATCTCCATCCCGAGCTTATTACTATAGGTTGGAGATTATGTGGTAGCATAACTGAATAGCACCTTCGAGGACAATATAGAATTATTTGTCAAGATAAGGATAGTATGACTATAATTTAGTCCTCTTCTTGATGCTACTGTTAGTAGTGGCATATCAGGCCATTGTGACAATATCTTATTAAAAAGATATCACCGAAATATTTCTCTCTCCACCTATTTTATTGTTAACCCTTTGGAGCTGGGATAATTACATTATGGTGCTGTTTGGTACAGGATTTTGTGGTAGGATTTTTGTTAACAAGATTCTTGGCAGCTTAACATAGCGGGATACAGCAGTAATATGACACACAATATTATAGTTTAGGGCCACACAGCACAGCATAGGTTGAGGAAAGTAAGTGCTTTAAGACAGCCTCTTCTGGCAGCAGCAATGTGATTTTATGCTTCGCTGTATTAAATGTAATTGTGGGAACAGAAGCGATAATATACTGTGCGTAACTCCATTATGTCAGCCTATACCCTCCACCTTACAATTCGAGCAGCAGTAATGCTGGCACGCTGTCGTGAGTTACGCTCTTTACATTTGTAGTTACATCAATATAAAGACATTAGATTACACAGGGCAGTTACAGTGTTTGAAATAGTGCTGGTTTGTATGATGTTAAAGTAAAAATCACGCAGGCACATTTGCACTATCGTACTTCCAGTATCGATAGCACTGACACTCTCCTAGCACACGTGTCTGTAAGTTGCAAGGATATCCCTAATTCATCATATCATGAGAGCTTCAAGAATTGGCAGCAGCAATATTCTAAATCAAGGAGTTGACAAACTATGGCCCATTGCCCGTTTTGTACAGTTTTTCAGGCTAAGAGTGATGTTTACATTTTTAAATGTTTGAAAAAAACTCTAAAGAAGAAGAATACTTTGTGGTGTGAAAATTTATGAAATTCAAATTTCAGTGTCCTTAAAGAAAGTTTCACTGGAACACAGGTGCTTCGTGCTACAACGGCAGAGCTAAATTGTTGCAACAGAGACTGTCTGATCCACGAAGCCTAAAATATTGACTCTGGCCCTTTACAGAACAAGTTTGCTGCCCTCTGGTTTAAACCATCCTGCATTACCTATAATGTGTATATGAGTAGAAAGTACTGTATTTTGAATGTAGTAAAAATGTAGCCATCGTGTCATATTATAATATGCTGTTTCTAATCATAGTTAACAAAAATGTCACTATAATTTACTATTGTATATTGCCTTTGGTGTCCAAATGCTGCTGAATTACAGCATCCTAAACTTGACTTGCTACCTGTCCGAGTGGACTGGGGTCTGGTGCAGTATAGGACTCTGGTTCACAGTATCGGTACGTATGTATAAGGTACCTAGTATTGTAATGGTTAAGGGCAAAATGTGCGGAGTAAGGCCCTGCCCTTTACTGGCTCTAGCACCTCTGGGTAACTTGCTTGTTGACCCTCAGCTTCCTCATCAGGAAATGGGAATAGTAGCAGGTGCATGACATGTAAAGTGCTCTGCATAGTACCTTGTAAGTAGAAGGCTTTGATAACTGGTATTGTAGGGGTGGTTTATTTATCATTCAGCAAACACTTCCTGAGGGTCACTGAAGTTGAGGAGCAATTCCAAGCATCAGGAATATGGCAGTGAACAAGACAGACAAGGCCCCGCCCTCACAGGGTGTGGGGAGGGGAGACTGAGAGCAAAGAGAAAACTGCAGGTCCTCAGAAGCACCATGCTGTGAATGAAAGAGCGGGCAGTGAGAGAGCAGGCCTTGGGGCTCAGTGGAAGACCACTGAGGCCTGGATGACAAGAGGGAGCCCACTGTCTGAATATTTAACATACAACATAGCTGCATTGCTACTGAATTGAACCTGTAGTTTAGTATTTTACACTATGCAAGGGATTCCTAACATTTGTGGAGTGAACCTCCATAATTAAATGCCACATGGGGGTCCAGAAGGTCCATGGCATCTACTAATTTGTAAAGACAAAAACCTCAATGATTATTAAAGGATTAGAGCAGGTTTTTCAACTTTCGCACTATTGAAAAACTCAGCTGAAGAAGTCTTTGTTGTGGAGGCTGTCCTGGGCTTTGTAGGATGTTTAACAGCATCTCTGACCTGTACCCACTAGATGCCAGGAGCACCTCCCCTTGCCCCAAATTATGACACCCAATGTCTCCAGACATTGTCAAATGCCCGTGGGGGACACAGTTGCCAAGATTTGTAATCACTGGGTTAGGGGAAATGATGTCTGCAAAGCCCCCAGCAGGAATGTGGCTGCTGCAAGCTGGACATACGTGACAAAGTCACATTAGTGGAAATGTCCCCGACAGACTCTCCAGCATATATGTGCCAATTAGAGGCATCTTCATAAAGCTCCCAAATTTCAGACACTGCAAATGGCCCTCAAGGGTGCATTAAATTCTTACGACCTTCAATAGTCATCGTAAAAAACGGTGCTCTTCTGCTTATGATTTTAATATTTTACTAAACCATACAGTCTCTTACAACAAGAGAAGCAATATTATGCTCTGTAGTGCTGTTCTGTTCATAATTTAAATAATGATACATTTCCTTACCCTGAATGACTTCACCTGTTAAATAGTAGTTTTTACCATCACCATTACTGCCCTATTTTAGTGTATTACATTGTCCTGATACTGTGTTCCCTTCGATACTGTGAACGAAAGTGCAGTGTAACATACACTGTTACACCATGATTAGCTATAGGTGCCTTCTGGATCCGTTTCCAGTTATCTTGAATGTCACAGCCTATAATTTTGGTAACTACTTGTGCTATATAGTGCTATATTAACTGTATCACATTCTAGTCCATTTTCTTAATTATAAGTGGCAAACCATACATTTTTAATAAAAAGTTCTCTGATAGGATACCTTTGGATATGATTGGCATCAATCATATTAATACTGCAAATAGAAATCTCCTTCAAATTGTAGCAAGGGTTGGGAAACACAGCCTGTCCTCTTCCTCCTTGCTCCCTGCAGTAATGAGGACACTCCCTCACGGCACTATACCACAGTGGGTACACGGTCACCCCCGATGCTAGTAGCACGGCTCTTACTCCTACCATCACTCACCTACTTGCTTAAATGAGGATCTACTCTGGCCAGACACTCTCCTTGGAGATGGGAAAATACTGGTGAAAAAAAAAGCAGACAATGGAGTCGTTGAGGGAACAGACAATCTGAGGTGCTGGACCGGTGGGTCATTCACAGGAAAGTGATGCCTGACGACGCCGTAAGTCAACAGTGTGACTCAACTATGCTATCTTTATGTCACAAACTGTGTTAAAAACTGATGCCACTCCACTGTTTAGAATGGGATATGGAGTGAAATTATAAATATTTATATTGCACATATTTTGCATCATTAGTATTAAATTACGCACATCATAACACAATATACTTGACCAATTGCTGCCAGTGCTTCAGAATTTTAATGCAGAATGGTAGGTCGTGGGATGTTATTTTTGTAAAAAACTACGTGACAACTTGATGCTTAGCGTAAATATAACGCATTTTGATATTTTTTGGAAGGAACAAATGAATTCATTCATTTACTTAGTGCACAGAAGTGAACAATATCAATGACCACAATGGTCACGATACTAGAGCCCCATTGTTGCTAAAATTTTGACAGCTTGGCATGTTATAGTATTGCTATATTGTCAGTAATTTAAAGTAAGTATAACAATGTAGGATTGTTATTCCTATAGATGCTTGAATCATTTTAGTATAAAGTACTATTATGAGAACATCAGTTTTTCTAAAATATCAACAGCATAATGTGACTTTTTTAATAAGAGTTTAACTGGCATTCTCCACATGACCAAAAAGATGTCTGTCCTATAAAGCAAATTCTCGATTCCACCTAGGCATGGATATTATTCCACTTTATTTGGTATCCATGACCCAGTGGAATCTGTTTTCTTTGGTTCAGGATCTGGTGTTTTCGGAACGCTTACATGTCTGGGTAGTTTCACATCTTGTAATATTTGAGATCTAATTTCATCTCCTGTGTACGGTGAAAGCCAGAAGCCAAAAGCCCAGGCAATAAGCTTGAGAGTCATTTACAGTCATTGTTCTTTTCCTCCTTCAATTCTTCTCACAATAAATTCCTAGGATTTATGCCTTCTCTATTTCTAGTCCTAAATAGTTCAACACTTGATTATTATGGGAGCTTGTGTTCTCCTCCAAATTATGATTTCTATTGAAGTTTAGTTCAGCAAAATTCAGGGTTCTATGTAATAAACTCTTCCATGGAGATGATGTTTTGATTCACTTTTGTAAATATTTTTATAACTGAGAGTGGAGCATCTAAACAATTGTTAAATATTTGTCCAGAATCTGCTTTAGAGCAAAGCCTCTGCCAACAACCATCCTTTCCAAGCGTCTGGAATGGGTGACTTTTTCATGCACTTTTCAGTCTGTATTCTCAGCAATAAAGTGATAATAAAACCCAAACAAGGAGATTATGATTTTAATATACTTTATTTAAAAAGTACACAGTTTTAAATTGTTTTCAATGGGTTTCAAGCAGAAGGGACACTGCCCACTTGCAGTCCCGATTCTGATGAACGGTGATTACCATGGAGCAAACTCACATTTGCATGACTGGCAAAGTAAAAAGATAACTTTTTTGTCAACATATCTTTAAGAGTTTATATTACGCACAGTTTAAAATCATGAGACGCTGATGGTTGGACTATATTTCATGACTTCTATGTCGCACCATATTTTGGTTCACAGTTTATCCATAATTTAGCATGCCAAGAGAACATCTCAGTCAGTGTCACCTTGAGAAGAGCATCAAAAGCAGAGGGAACAGGATAAGGACCATCTTGGCTTGGATGCCCGGTGCACCTCCACACTCTCTTGCGTTTTCCTGTGGGAAAAGGCAGGGTTGGTTAGAGCAGAGATAGACTCCAAGATGCACTAAACTTTCCAAGCGATGTTGAGTCCCCAGACCTCTTGCCCCTCTCCAATGTATGAACAAAATCTTTTGGGTGCTAGATAACACAGTGAAATACACTTGTCTAAAGTTTCATGAAAGCTAGTGATGAGAATCTCTGATTTCAGTTGTCATTGCATAAGATATTCAAAATTATTCTTTGCATACTATTATGTAGAACATTTAAGAGGTAAAGGGCTGTTGGTGGAGATGTCTGTTTGATCATGTTATAAAAGCAAAATATTGGCCTTCTAATTTTTTCCTGTCAAAATGTAAGTAAAAGATCACATCTAAGGGGCCTGATCATTTCAGAGACTGGGCTAGGGAGGGTTTATGTGTATGCCTTCTTTCTTTTTACTTGGGGAAAAGGGGCTCAGTTTTGCAGAAATGAAATCGTATTATTTATTCCTTTCTGCAACATTCTTTTTTGTCCATTGACTGATGTAAATTTCTCCAACTCCATTATTCTAGCTCTATTTTATTCAGCCATTTTCTTATTGATGGGCATTTATTTTCTCATCTGTTCTTTACTGCTACAAAGAGTGCTGAATGTAGGTCCTACTAGCCAATGGTATTTGCCCCACCCCTGCCCATGATAAAGATGCCCAGGTGTGAGAGTGCAGAGCTAATGCGTATGTTTGCTTTTGATGGCTATGGCCAGATATTTCATCACTTCCTGTATATTCTGATAACCTAGTGACTTGTATCTTTCACATTCTTGGTTTATTTTTATATGTAGTTGTTTGATTTATCAATTTAAAAGAGCTCTTTATGATTTGATATATAAATATTTTTTCAAGTTCTATAAATTGACTACTGACTTTACATTCTTTTTCCATAGAAAAGTTATAATTTTTATATAGTTAAATAAACCTGTTTTTCTTCCATAGCTTTCTGGTCTTAGATAGGAAGTTCTCTCCAATCCCTGAGATTTGTTGCGAGACTATTATTTTACCATTTAAGTCTAATGTATATTCTCCTCTTTGAATTGAATCTTTGTCATATGTAAGAATTTCTATTCTGCTCCACTGACTTCATCTTAATAGGGGTAAAAACTCAAAGAAAAAAATACAGATTTAAAAACAAAGTTTTTTATATATCAAATTATCTCATTAACTCCCGAAGATTTTTACTCTAGTGACTTTAGCTGTCTAAGTATGTAGCTCTGATTTTAATTGAAGTGATTTTAGTATTTTTTTGACTATTACTTGTATTTGCATTCTACATAGATCTTTTTTAAGGGTGACACTGAACTTTATCAAAGATCTTTCCAGCCTATGTTTGTATAATATGTTGTTATTGAACTCTCCTTTGGATAGAGAAGCAAACATTCTCACTAAGTTCCAAGTTCTTATTGGTACTATACTAACTTTAACATATTTTCCAACACTTGGATAGTTTAAATAACATTAAAATTATTTGTTGTTTAAAGGTGAGATTAACAGTCAGCTGGCTCTGACGCCATTTTTAAAAATAGATATCGTCCCAGTCTCCCTATAATAATGGGTCTAGGCAAGTTTTTCATTTTTCAGGGGCGGGGGGGAGAGGAGTTAATTTTTAAATTTGTATTATTTTTGCTTGATTAAATTTTTTTTTGTCTAGAGCCTTGCAGGGGTATTCTCTTATAATTCACCTACATCTATGGGAAGTTTACCTTTCTCAGCACTAAGCTTCATTTTTCTCTGCTCACCACTTTTGGTGTAAATGGAGTGCCTGACGGTTGTGACTTCATGTGGTTAAGGGGTTTAGGGGCTTATTATTCTGCCTTCATAAACTGTGACTCGATTTGATATTAATATTGACACTTGTGATTTACATGAATTTCTTACAAATAAAAGGCTATCTAAAAGTAAGCGGGGGAACATAATTTTAACTACAACTTGAAATAAGTAAACCAAGATGGTCAGAACCACTTCATGTGCAATAGTCGAAAGTGATAAAATTACAGCCCATCCATAAAGAGAAGATAGTAAAGAGGCTTTTAAAATCGATACACAGATATAATAAGAAGACTATTAAGCACAGACTAAATAAGAAGACCTTGAGGGGCTGCGAATACCATCAGCCTTCCTGTATGTTCTTCTTTGATTTGCCTGCAGGGGATTCCTTTCTCATGAGAAAACTTGTTAGCTACAGTTCTTTGACCATGGTGAGATTCTTGTGGCAAATCCGATGGGAAAAGAGACAGGAAGCGTTCTTGGACTTACCTCAGGATGGAAGCCATGACAAGACTCCGGACGCCTTCTGATCTTCTGGGCCTTTAAGCGTTCACACTTAAGGGATTCGTTATGTTGACTGTAGTTAAGGCATATTTCCAAGATATTACTTTCCCTTACTCTGCATTTCAGAGGTCAAAACTGGGCTCTAAGTTCCCTTAATAACCTCTCTCTCTCCAACAGTAGAAAGGACGTTATTTTCCCCTCTCTAATATTTCTCCCCCACGTTTCCTTACTGTTGATTCCCCTCACCAGCTTCAGCAGCAGTCACTGGACCTATGCACAAAAGGATATACCTGATTTCAATGGGCGCCATGGTGATGGGGGCTATGGACTCACAGAGGCAGCTGCTGTCCACCACCACCATGAACAGATTGCTGCTTGGGATTTGCTGGATGACAAAGGACCTGTTGGAAAAAGAGGCACAGAGACAGTGAGTGGTCATTTACCATTCTTCAAGTAAAAAGCCATGGAGAAAACTTTTCCTGGGGGGTAACTACTATAATACTTTAGAAAACAAGTTTCAGAGACTGCTTTACTACTAAAGTCACCTCCTTCCCTGAGGCTCTTCACTTTCAAATACCAAGCTTCACTAAGAAGACAATAGCTTATAAGCTATAGTTATAGCCATACACAGCCTATAAAACACACCTCGGGAAGACTGGGATCTTATATGTGCAAAACAGGAGAGTCAGAGTTGGCTAAATCACCTCAATTTCCAAGGTCTAAGAGGCGAGGCCTTTCCAAGCCTCATTTCCCTCTCCCTGGGCTTAAACATTATCAAAACTTGCATGACATTCTTCTAGATGGATTTTTCTCTCCTCCTTCCCTCAAAGATAGACTGAAGTAATATCATATTGATGATAAAAGATGAAGTAAACTTCCTGAACCCTTCCCTGTACCACTTTGTACAATATCTGCCCATAATAGAGGTACAGTCTTTGGATGAAATTCGTTTAAGAAGTCCCACCCTTCTCAGAGTCTAAGTTGTGCTGGTACTAAGGCTGTATAGCAGCTCTGACATGCGGGGTCCATCAGTCCAGCTGAAGTAAGCTTAATGACACCTGCTTCTTAGTGAAATGACAAAGCAACACCACCATAAATATACTCTTTAACAAGAGATACTCTGACTCTTTGGAGGCACAAATTACAGACCAAAATCCCATACTCTTCCAGAGCCAACAGGTTAGCCAAATATTTAGTCACAGGCCTAGAACCCTTGTCAATAACTTTTCATGATATTTCATTAAATTCAGTTTAGTCAGAAGAAGTAGACTATAACCCAACAGAATGTTCAATTTCTCCATAAATTTTATGTTCATTCATCTGTCTCTCAACAAATTTGTTCTATTCTCTAGAGCATATCACCATGGTTTACTAAAACCATGGGATGAAGAGGAATCCTCCTGCTTTGTTGGAAGTTATAAAGAAGGGAAAGGGCTCCCTTTTTATTTTTACCTATTCTCACCTCATCTGTTGAATTATCCAAGAATGCTCTGATATCACAACACAACTGGCTTCCTTTGTATACATGCTCAATGCCTATTCATCTAATATCCTACAGTTATGCTCACTTCTTTCAACCATAGCAGGGAACAGGGCATGCCACTGCTCAAAGATGTTCCTCAATGCCTAAACCACTATCCACACTCTGGGACGCTTACTCTCTGCCCTTCCCACCCTTCTCCACAACAACACCTGGCTTGAGAAAAAACTCAGTTTTGCTATCTCACTAAAACTTTAAAAACCTTTGCTTTAGCTCCCCCTTTTAGCACTAGGTGCCTTCTCACCTATGCAAGGCCAATGCTTTAGCAGTGGCCTCGGCAACAGATTATGCCTATCAGAATAAAACCAATCTACCTGATACGGTTCTCATCAGAAAACCAATGGATTTCATGTTGGAGGCAGGTTAACAGAGTCTCAAAGAAAAATGAAAACCAATACCACATAACATTTTAAAGAACAAATGGTTGACTAGAAGATTAAGCCAAATGAATCTATCAGGCAAACAATAAAGGAGAAAGAAATTAGAATATGAAATAGAAGCTCCAAAGGGAGAGAATATTTTCCAATTGAGGAGAATTCTATTTTTTTCATTCAAAGGGTCCATTCAAGCCTGAATAAAACTTCAGATCATCAAAGATATAGACCAATCCTAAAATCTTCTCTAGAAACAAATTACTCAAAGAGGAATGAGAATGACATCAACTTCTCATTGGGAGTACTTAAGATGAAGGAAACAGAGCAACATATTCAAAGTTTTGAAGGAATGGAGAAAAGGAAGTAAAAAAATATGTCAGTGTCCAGAGGAAAATATACAAGTAACTGTAGATATCGATAGAAAATTATGTTTTAAAATTTAAGAATAATTACTCAAAAAATCTCTGCAAAATGAAAACCTGATCAATCCAAGATAGCATGGTAAATAAAACACACACACACACACACACACAAGACTGCCAGTATACGCCTACAATTATTACAAATCACAATAAATATGAGGTGATCAGATTCAATATTAAAAGGCAGAGACTCTTAAATCAGGTTTACAAAAATCCCGGCATTATGCTGTTTGCAACAGACACTCCCAAAACAGAATGATATGGAAGGAGGAAAAGATGCACCAGAAAAATGCTAACAACAAAAGGGAGGAATAGGTTTAGTAATATTATTATACAAATATTCAAAGTGAAAATTCATTAAAATGTAGTAGAGAAAATAGTTCACACTGAAAAATAGTATAATGGTATAACAAGATACGATATGAACTTTTATGATCATAGTGTACAAACTGATAGAAATACCAGAAGAGATTGATGAAAGCATGCTCTATTAAAATATGGAGCGAAAATTCTTCAATCTAAACAATATATACATTACTTTCAAACACAGGGAACTGCAATGCATTCCAAAGGGCTGAAAGCATCAATTGCATGTTCTTTTTCTTATGGTAGGGTACAACTAGAAATTAAAACCGAAACCTATAAACAGTGGAAATTAAAGGTTAAAAAATACATTCAATTAATCCTTGAGAATTTAAGAACAGCCCAGACTCAAATATGTGTAGCATGACCTCAAATACTTTTATTGGAAAAAAAACCCAAAAAACAAAAAAAAACACTTTCAAATAAATGAACTAAGTTTTAGAATCAAGAAGCTGGAAAAATAAGAACATAAACCTGCACCTGTGCCCCTAGACTTGGTCTTTCCTCTGGCACACTGGGCTCAGTATTGACGCCCCTCCCCAATGCTCAGCTCTCAGGCTTCTGCAGGGAAGTGACTGATGGAAGAGAAGAGGGTGATCATTGCACAAATAGTTTGCCTCATCTACTCACCATTCCCTTCAGTTTACAAACATGCTGTCACATCTCCCATCTCAGGAAAAACAAAACTCTCCCTTGAGCTTACCTCCAGTTACTGCCCTATTTCTCTGTCCAATTTTCTAATACAACTCTTAAAAAGAATTATCTATAACCTCTCTCTCACTCTCTACTTCCTCACATTTGCCCTTCTTTCACAAATCTACTCCAATAAGCCTGCAGTCCTTACCATGCCACTGTATCGGTTCTTGTCAAGGACACCAATGACCTCATCACCTTTCTTCTCAATCTCCTCAGCCTCTGCTTTCTCCTTACTTGTTCACTGTTTGCTCCTCACAACAGACTGGTTTCTATGGGAGCAAGGCTGCATCTGTGTGCCCATGGTTATCTGTTGTCCCCAGCACCTACAGTTGTGCTTGTGACTGAGCAGATTCTCAGTAAATATTTGTCAAATCAAGGATAGAAGGAATTTACAAATATAAAAGCAAAAGAATAAACACAAATAAAAATATGAAGAAAATTGAAAGGACCAAACTCTGGTTTAGAAGGACATTGACATAAATCAATGTTTGGCACTCCTGATCAAGAAAGAAGTCATAAAATCACATTAAAACCCAAAAAAGACAGAGGCATTTCAAACATTTTAAGTGACTATTATGTATATTGTTGTAAACAATTTGAAAACAGAGCAAACATACCTTTGGGGTGAAAGTATAAATTATTAACATTTGGCCACGCCATAAAAAAACACAAGCAGACCAACTGCCATTAAAAAAACTGAAACGTTCATTGAAAATCTACCCCCAAGTAAATACCACCAAAACTCACGTGAACCCACTGACCAGTTATTAGAACTACTAAAAGAACTCAGCCAGCTGACCAGTTACATAATCAACATACAAAACCACAGCATTTCCCTGACAATAACCAATGAAAAATATTTATGAAATAAAGAACCACTAACAGTGTCAATAATCACTCTGAAATGCCCAAGAATAAATCTGGTAAAAAGCATTTCTTTTTGAAGAAAATGACCAAACTTTACTGAACATAAAAAGACAAACTAAAAATTGGAGGAAAGTACAAGGGGTGTGGAAAAAAACACATATATTGAAGATGTCACTTCTCCCTTAATTAACCTTTTAATTCAAAGCAATCTCAATCACAATCCCAACAGGATTTTTGATGGAATTTGAGGTGATGATCCTAAGATTCATTCAGAAGAGTAAATATGAAGAATAGAGTGAACAATTGTAAAAACTTGGGTTTTATAAAAAGGGAAAGGTAGGGAAGGCGCTTGCCCTAATCAGTATCAAAACTCAGGAGATGATTTATAGAAGAAGAAACACAGATGGACAACTGATCTATAAAAAAGGGTTCAGACTCATTAAAATTAGAAAAATATTTGGTGCAGCCACTATGGAAAACAGTATGAAGCTTCCACAAAAAATTAAAAATAGAACTACTGCATGATCCAGCAATTCCACTTCTGGGTATACGACCTAAGAAAATGAAATCACTATCTCAAAGAGATCTCTGCACCCCATGTCCACTGAAGCATTATTTACAGCAGTGGGAGAGAGAGCAAGGGAGGAGGAGACCGGAGAAGACTGACCGGGAATAATCGTCAAGGGAGACTCGAACTTAATCTGTAACGCTGAAGTTCTTTTTAAGGAGAATGTGTTTGTGTACTCTTAAAACATTTATGAAATGGAATGTTATGCTAGGGCCAAAGAGTACTGATTTTCTCATTTTACAAAAGAGAAAACTGGGACTCAGAGAGAAGAAGTAAACTCTTACAGAAGCTTTATGAGTAAGACATAATCGTGCCCATTGTAGAGATGGGGAAACAAGAGGCTAAGTAACTTCCTGCAATCACGGGGGCAGAGCTGAGGTTCAAACCCAAAGCTGCAGGCCTCCAGAGCGCAGGCCCATTGTGGGTCTGCCCCCATGGGCAGCAGACTTTCTGTCTTGTTCTGGAATTATTAGTGCTCAAGCTCCTTGAGGGCAGAGCCAGAGTGATTACTCCATGCAGATGCTTAATGACAACAAGTGCAAGATATGATTCTCTTTAACGCATTTACCTT